TATTAAACTCTTAATAGTCCAAAGGATATCTTTGATACAGACAATACAGGACTGTACTCCGGAGCTGCTCCAGATTATTGCACGATTTGTAGAAGTGCCTCCGCTTCTGCAGAGAAGATGGTTAAGGACAGAATTACAGCCCTATTCTAAAATATAACCTAATTTTTATATAGTTTATCATTATCTTTGTTTGTAAGTAGCCTAATTCCATTTCCTGGCTCAATACTTGTGAATCTTTTCAAAAAGTCCATGGTACTCATGTGGAGAACCTGACACGTGTGAACAGGAGTTAATGACTGGGTGGACATATATCATGATCTTCAGGTTAGTTGTGTGTTAACAGATGAATAAATTGCCCACTGTCTAATTAATTAATCCAGGGAGTAGGGTGAAGAGAAAAATAAGCATGAACCTGAACAAATTCCAGTTAGCAAATAGCAAACTCATGAAGCTATTATCATTCTAAGAAGAGCACTGGAAAAAAGTTTAACAAATGAATATCTGTACAGAATGTACAGTACTGACAGTTATTTAAATAAGTTATGTGTTAAGCTGACCACTCACCCCTATCTAATGCCAGGTTAAGACCTCATACTATACCTTCACTCCCCCCAAGCGCCTAAAAAGTTTAACAAATGAATATCTGTACAGAATGTACAGTACTGACAGTTATTTAAATAAGTTATGTGTTAAGCTGACCACTCACCCCTATCTAATGCCAGGTTAAGACCTCATACTATACCTTCACTCCCCCCAAGCGCCTACATGGTGTATAGTGGGACAGCTTTACATTAAGTATGCTAATAATTAAAGAGGAGGCTGAAATAAGAGACTTTTTTTCCATGAACTGTAAATTTGAATACAAATTTTTTGTTTTCTCTTTGAATGTAAATTTGTTGATGGGTATTGTTATACTGCATCAGGCGAGTTTATGTGATGTGTTTTTAATTTGTTTTACCTAATAAGCAAAAATATTCCAGTTCATCCCAAATTTCCAAATTTGGCATATATTTTACTAATTTCCTATTTTTGGGAATATTCTCTTTAACAATTACATTTTTTAATTCAGTGGATTGTTATAACATTTCACAGGAATTAGATCCACATTTTTAGAGGATTTAAGAATGATGCTCAGTGATAAGATGAAACACACTATTAACTTCTGAAACTGGAATTGGTTCTCAGTGCCATACTGAGTATTTTTTATTTGCTGCCTCTTTTTTAGGGCAGCAGCTGTGTGTGTGTGTGTGGCTGGCAGGCATGGTTAAGATTTTTGTTGCGACCCCAAATGCCCTGACTGAAATGTTTTTTAATAGTTTTCCCCAGTTCCTCCTGGTGAATTACAGGATAGTACCTTGAAGTACCCCATAGTTGCATCTTCCTCATTTCTTATATCTTTCACAAAAGATCCATAAAATGAAAGTCCTAATTATGTTCTTCTGTATTTGTTTAATATCCTCTTAGTATTCCATTTCTCACTTCGTATTTACTGTCAGTAAGAGAAGATTAAATGTTTTCATGACCAAATAAGAAGTCTTGTTTCCTTACATACCTGAAATGATATGAGTATGGTGGACCCTTTCCTCTGTGCAGCTGGGCTTGGTGAGTTTAGGATCCGAGATCTAAATGATGAGATAAACAAACTTCTCCGTGAGAAGGGTCACTGGGAGACACAGATACGAGAACTTGGAGGTCCTGATTATGCCAAGGTAGGACCTCGTATGTTGGATCATGAGGGCAAGGAGGTTCCTGGGAATCGAGGTTACAAGTATTTTGGAGCAGCCAAAGACTTGCCAGGTAAGATAAATATTTTAATAAATGCCAAATCTTTTTTGAATTAAGTAATGTCAGAGGTGTTTTTGGGTTTTATTTTAAAGCTTAAGCTAATACATATACGTGCAACATAAACATTTATAAAATAATCATGGAAATTTTATCTTTTCTTTAAATTCTTATGTTTCTTTATTTCTCACAACTGTTCAGCTCCAACTTATTTGCGCTAAATGGAATAAGGAGGAAATGTCACAACAGTGGAAGGAATCTATTAATGTACCAAGTTGTCACAAAGAGGCATATCTAACCTTTAAGAATCTGTTTCCAGCAAGACAGTTAATTAATCAAAAGTGATTTTTATTGACAGACTAAATAATTATTCTTATTTCAACAGTTTCTGATCCTAAGAACTATTATGATAACATGATACTGCTCTTTCATTCATAACTTGGTATTGGTAATGTGACAGTGATCACTTATCAGTGAAAGATCAGTGTTAATGACTAGGTTGTTCATACCTCATTAGTGCCTGATTAATAAACTTAACCTTATGTACCACTAACTCATCCTTCATTCCTCTTTTCTGTTACTAGTTTGGCATTTAAATTGTGTATTTACGCACAAATGGTGGAAGAAACTATGCATGGGGCTGTTCATGGAGTGTTGAAAACATATTATTTTATGAAATGTATCATGGAATCAGGTGTTGTTCCAATCATTTGGTACTTCATTTACATGGCAAAATAACTTAATAACATGGTATTTGTTGTTAGTTCAGGAAAGTAAGTTATATTCATATCACTTGCATTTCTTGTGTATGAATATAACTTACCTCCCTGAACTAACTGATAACTAAATCTGCATTTCTGACATTTATCAAATTTTGCACTGGGCACACTTTAAGAGGGACTGCAGACTGTTACATGAACTACAGCTGAAGGAATGTTTTTTATTCTGGAAATTTCAAAAGAAGTTATTTTGTTCTACAGGTGTGAGAGAGCTTTTTGAACAGGAACCGCCCCCTCCCCCGAGAAAGACACGTGCTGAGCTCATGAAAGACATTGATGCTGATTATTATGGTTATCGAGATGATGATGATGGAATTCTAACACCACTCGAACAAAATGAGGAAAGAAGAGGTATATGCATTGTAACTGATCATGAATTTTGGATTTACATATATAATCAGGAAGTGTGGCAGCAGTTTTCTACGTTCACCACAGTGGAAGAAAGCACAGCAGATATGATCAAATGTTAAGGTCATATTGTTGGCATTTTTAAATCATACAGACATAAGTACCTTCTCTGCATCATCTGTCATTGGTTTCCCACATTTACATTATTTTGTTAGAAATGCAGAGAAACATGGGAAAATTGCACCTGACTCATTATATCCCTTACTGCTCTGCCTGGAGTTGAATGTCTGGTGGAACACAATATTTCTGTGGTATCACATCTTTCCTACTCACCTGATTTTGGGCCTTTTAATTTCCTTTTTTCATAAACTGAAAGTTGAATTTGTAAGATGATGATTGACAACAAGCAGGTCACTGAACCAGGGTAGCTCAGTCAGTATAGTGACTAGCTACGGGCTGGGCGATTGGGGTTCGATCCCAGACGGGGGCAGAGTATTTTTCATCTAGCCTCTGCCTCCAGACCAGCTCTGGGCCCCACCCAGCCTCCTGTCCAATGGGCACCGGTATCCTTTCCTGGGGTAAAGCACGGCCGGGGTGTGATGCTAACCACTCAAAAAAGAGTAGGAGCTATACCTCCGCTCCCCCAAGTGCCTGCATATACGTGTAGTGGGACACTTTACTTACATGTCACTGAAAAAACAATAATATACTGGGTTCATAGTGCATTACATTTATGAACACAGTTGAAAGTACTAGAAAATATGAGATCCACATCTTAAAGTATTATGAGACAGTGAGAAAGGATGGCTGTCAGTATAGTAACTAGGCTGTGGGCTTGATGTATGGGATATAATTCCTTACAGGGCAGGATTAGTCTCTTTGCCATAGCATCAGGACAGGCTCTGGTGTCCATGCTGCCTGTTTGTTAGACACTTGGGTACGAGGGTTCTTTGGTGGTAAAGTGGTCAGGGCTTGAAGTTAACCACTCACCACCTTCTAGTGCCAAGGTTAAGAATGCATGAAGCTGTACCTCCACTCTCCTATATGTCAGCATTGTGTAGTGCTTAGTTACACACTGGGGACAACTTTACCTTTGATTATGACACAGTAACTTTGTGAAAGAAAGAATGGCATTTCTGTCGGCTGATTATGTTCCTTATGATTTATTCCTATTTCTTAAACTTTTTCTTGTACTGGTGTGAATGTAATCAGCCTGGCTGTGTGAACTGTAAAATAACACTCGATTAGTTTAGTGTATTCAAACACCAGCATCAACAAGCAGAATGTTATCAGTCGTTATGTCCGGTGAGCATTTAGAAGACATGTCAAATGATGACTTATTCTGAAGAAAGTTTGTAGATTTGGATTCTGACAGTGACAATGAAATCAGTGTTCATGATATAGTTGTAAATTATGATAGTTATCAAAATAGCAATAGTATTCAGAGCTTCATTTATATAAAAAAAACTATTATGTGAGCCTATAATGAGAGTTCAGTGGGTACAGTAAAAGGAGAGACTGAAGAAATTAAATAAATATCTAGTCAGGATATCCACCACCAGCTGAGATTCAAACTGAGGTCATCCTGAATACAAGCTGAACATTACCACTGAGCTATAGGTAGTTAGTCCAATGAGTATGAAAGATTGGCTGTACTAAAATGTGTTTAGGTATTTGTTAATGTCTGGTTGATATTTTTTTCTATCCACCTACTTACAAGTATACAAATACTAGTCTTCATTATTTGTATCTTCTAGCCGTCACAGTGGCCGCTTGGTCTGAGGTGTGGGCCTTGTGCCGCTCGGACACTGGGACCGTGGGTTCGAATCCCACTCAAGGCATGGATGTTTGTCCACGTCCTTCTGTGTTGTGCTGTCCTGTGTACAAGTAGAGGCCTTGCGACAAGCTGATCACGTGACCAAGGAGTCCTACCAAATGTCTAATAGATGAAGCAAACCTCCAAAGAGAGGAATAAAGCAGACCCTGCCAAAGTGGGACAAATGCTAAAGAGGGGAAACAAAATTATTTGTATCTTCTGATTTATAGTAGTGGATGAGTTAATATGTTTATCTTCAGTGAGATTCTTAATTTTTAAATTGATTTGGTGTTTGTGTTACACTTTTACTTGAATTTTCACAGCAATAGCAAATGCTGTGGCTGATTGGAAAGCAAAGAAAGAGGCATCTCTTCATGCAGTGGGAGAAGACCTGGGTCAAGCCCAAGAAGAAGAAGAGGAAGAGAATATTTATGCTGTGCCACCAGAAATGGATGTAAGGGGACACTGCACAGACAACTTTGTATTTGATATCTTGCCCTGCAGCATGCAAAAAAGTGAAACTTCTGAACGTGTAACATGTTCAGTGTGTCAGATAATTTTGGTCTGTGTACCTCTAGAACTAAAGACTAGTAGTGTTAGTAACATCATGCATGCAGTTAGTTATGTTACTGTGTTTTAGTTTAGAAGCATGGAGGAGGTAATAGTTAAAGGAAATGTCTGTACTTTATTGTGGATTTTAAAGATTGTTTTTAACGTAAAAGTAGTCTAAAGGTTTAGATACATAGTGGTCTCACTTAATCAGCATAAATGGGGCCAAGTGGTAGGGTGGTTAATCATAAAGTTGGTTAATACAGAGTTACATTCTTTTGGAGAAACATTAAATAAATAAATAATAAAAATATAGTACATTATGTGTATGAAGAATTATTTCATCGTATTGGGAATTCAGGAATCCTCAGAAAATGTCAAGGCAGTTAAGCCATAGAGCTAAGAGAGAGCTGATTAATGGAGAGTCCACAGTACATAGTGTTCCTTATTTAGGCAAGTAATTATATATAAACATTTTGTCTGCTAGTCTGATGAAGATGAAAAGCAGACTTCAGAAGAAGCCCAGCAGCCAAAGTTCATCGCACACGTTCCAGTCCCATCACAACGAGAAGTAGAAGAGGCATTACTGAGGCGTAAAAAACAGGAACTTTTGGAAAAATATGCAAGTGAAAACTTAATTAATCAGTCAGAAGAAGTGAAAGACTTGTTGGGAGTTCATACATGAAAACTGTGATAAACTAATATGTCCAGGAAAACTGTGCAAGAAACTGTATGGGATGACCACTGGTAAGAACCATTGTTTGGTTTATTAATGATCACATGACTGATATACTGTCACATTCTGCTTTGGAAAAATATGTGTCACTTGGGGAGTGTTTGGCCAACTGCTGTGCCCTATGTTACGACAGCATCAGAGAAGTATATAGGATGTCCGATCATTGCATGTTAAGCATACGTCATTATTCTATGCTGAAAACTGAACAGAAAATCTACAGTGCATATGGGGCCTGATTTTCTGTTTAGTTATCAAGATGTGATGTGTTTTTAGAGTTCACAGTTTGGCATAAAGAAATAATAAACATAAGCAATTGTAGATTAAACTTCATTACTGAATGTACAGTAATTATGAACAACATTAATTGTTGAAAATTTTGACTTGTTTTCAATGCAAGCTTTGGCACGGTGCACTCATGACCATCATACAATGTGCAGTACTTCTGATGCAGTTCTCATCTCTGCTACTATGTAATCCATATGTACAGTAAACTTTAGTTTTGAGTGTGCCCCACAGGAAGAGATACAAAGGATTAAGGTCTGAGCCACTGTACCAGACCATTATGGCTTGCCCAACAATTCTCAGATGTTGATATAACAACTTGCTATAGCATTGTTGAACTGTGAAGGCACTCCAGAGGTACTGAAGAGTATGTGATGGTCATATATGATTTGAAGCTTACACGGTGGCGTAACTCAGTAAACATTTCTCGGGTGATGGCTAAATGATTAAACTGACGTTTCAGGAACCATCTCTGTCCCCATCATCAGGGTTCTGTTGTGACCAGATTATGTGGTTTCATCGTTTAGCCATCTGATCACCCCAGAAAATTTTATTGTATATGATGGTCATTAATGCATGGTGCTGAAACTTGCATTGAAAACAATGGTCACCATTTCCAACAGTTAATGTAGCTACTTGTGACTCCTATATATTCAATACTAACATTTTGTTACAATTATGCTTACACTTTCTCTTTCTTTATTACTGATTGTGAGCTCTCAAACATTTATTTCGTAGTTGGATTTGAGATTTTCACAGCAGTGAGTATAAAGATGGCTGCCTTCTGGTAGAAGTTTGTCGATGTTTCAGAGATCCTTCATGCCTCCATCAGGGCACTAATCGCCAATGTCATTTCATATCTTGATAACTGAGTCCTTCAAGCCCTATGTGCCTTAAAGCTTTTTTGTTCAGTTTTCAGTATAGCATAATGCTGTATACTTTCTGATGTGCAATTACAGGATGCCTGTATCACTGTTGTGTAAATAGTTCAGAAAATGCCTAGGTATCAAATGCTTAAATGCCTAGGTACAATGCAGTGACCTGTTCGAAGATGTGATATCCGAAACTACAGTTTTATTGTATAATAACATTACAAGTTCATGTCACATTTATTTTACTGTCAGATGGATGTGGCACAAAGGATGACTCAGAAACAATATATGAGATATGATATGGAATTTTTATTCAGAAGAATTTGTATGCTAGGTATAAAATATAAATTTGATTCATACAATAGTATATCTGTTCTCAGACACAGTTAATTTAACCCTGTCTGTTGTGAATTCATGGTTGTCCCCACAGAAAGGGTATTTTTATCTTTTGTTTTATTTAGTGGCCCTGTCAGTGGCTGAGACTACCATTAACAAAGAGGATAAGGGGAAGACATACCAGATGTTATCAAATGGCATTATGATACATCCATTTCAGAAGAAATCCTTCCAAAACTATGGGGACCACATATTCATATTTATTTAATATACCACCAGGTATACCAACAAGTTACGTATTTGTGTTCCATTCACAAAGCATTCTTCTTTGTTGGTTGTTGTACCATTGCATACATTTAACTTCACCATCCTGAATTGTGTATAAAAAGTCAATTCAATAGAAGTAAATGATTTACAAATCAGTGGATCTGATGTGTAGTTATTCATTTAATTTAAAAATTATGATTTTCTCATAACTTGAAATTTCAGGGCACCAATTGTTCTTTTGATCTTTACTACTGAGTGACATGCTCCAAGAATTGTTACTTTGGAAGTTCCATTTGAAACAACTTATTGTTTTCAAATAGATTTCTGTATTTCAACCAATATATATTGTTATCTTAATGAAATATGAAATACATCCTAAAATTAGATTAAAAACTGAAAATCAAATTATCAACTGTCTGAATTTATTACTCAATCCTGAGTCTTCACTGTTATTACATATATGAAAACAAAATATAACTTTGTTTAGTGTATGCTTTGAAGTTATTCTATTTTGATAGAACACAACATTAGCAGAATAAAAGAAATATTATTTCAGTGGAGTCTGTCAGACTTTCTTTAGTGTTATTTTTCTTAATTGCCTTCTTTGTCTGAATAATTTATGCGTCTGTTTTCATGTGCAGTGACCTACTGTGAAAACATGATGTACTAATGCTCTTATGCATAACTCTACAGTATAAAATTTCATCGAACTTGGTTTATCCATTCGGGAGTTTTTTTATTCATATGGCTAGATGGAATGATTTTAATAAGTGCTCTATACACTTGAAAATCACTTAAAACACTAATAATATTTTACTGTTGACTTGGCCTACAAGGTTATGAGACACTTAAATTGTGAATTTCAAGATACAGCAAGGTTATATGTTATAAAGGAGGAGCAATGGATAGAACATTATAAAACGTATGGTATTATCCTGGTAAGGAGAACGCACCAGAAGAAGACACAGGGAAGGTAGTAGATGAAATTAGTGTGGAAGAATTAGCAATACAAGGATTGAAGAATAGAGAAGCCCCTGGCTTGGATGGTGTTAACTCAGAACTCTTCAAATATGGAGGTACACCCTTAAAACTGAGACTTCTTCATTTGTTAAATTTATGTTGGAAATACTGCATCATACCTAATGCATGGCAGAAAGCAAAGCTAATATCATTGTTTAAAAAGGGGTAGAGGAATAGCTGTGAGAACTACTAGGGCATTAGTTTACTAGCCACTAGCTAAAATGTATGCAAAAATATTAAATAAGAGGCTTATGAATATCTCAGATGACCTACTATTGGAAGAACAGAATGGTTTTAGAAAGGGACATCTTGTATGTATGATATTTTTACCATATGACAAACTACAACCCTGATGTACTCCCTGGTTAATTTTAATATCTTTTGAATATCTTCCTTCCATATCTAAAATGATTGTAGTATTTTGGTACAGAGACCTATTGGCACTTATTAAATGTCGTGAGTAGCCTAGGACACATTTGATCAAGGACAAGAATGGGGATCTGCTCACGGACTCGCATGGCATTATAGACAGATGGAAAGATTACTTTAGTAAGTTACTAAACATTCACATAGCTGATAAATTTAAAGGTCCTTAAGTACATACAGCAGAGCCCTTCATCCTGGAACTGAGCCTTAATGAAGTTAAAATTGCCATTGGGAAATTAAAATGATATACATCGCCAGGTATCACTCAATTCCAGCGGAACTAATCCATGCAGATGGTAGGACACTGCACTCTGAGGTATGTAACCTTATGGTCTCCATTTTGAACCCGGAAGTACTACCAAAATAGTGGACAGAATCAACTGTTGTTGCTATCCATAAAACAGATGACAAAACTGAGTGCAGAAACTTCTGAGGTACCTTTCTTTTGTCAACATCATACAAAATTTCACTGAATATTCTGGCATGGTTAACTCCATTTATAAATAAAACTATCAGGGACGATCAATGTGGATTCCACCGTAATAGGTCAACTACTGATCTGATCTTTTGCATTTGACAAATATTAGAGGAAAAATGGGAGTATAATGGGTCAATTGACCAACTATTTGTGGACTTTAGGAAGGCATATGACTCAGAAGAGAGGTACTATATGGCATTTTGATTAAGTTTGGAATACCAAAGAGACTTGTTAGGTTAATTAAGATGTGTATGGATCGGGTATCTACTAGAGTTTGTATAGGTAACCGTCTGTTCCCAGTGCACAGTGGCCTAAAATGGGGATGCTTTATCCCCAGTGGTTTTTAATTTTGTTCTAGTTCATGTCATCAGGAAGGTCAGAGGGAATCAGGAAGGGCTCGAATTGAATGACTTGCACCAGGTACTTGCCTATGCTGAAGACATCAATCTGCTTGGGGGATGCGGTGGGTACCATAACCAAAAATGTAGAAATTCCCCTGTAGGCTAGCAAGGAAATACACCTAGAAATAAATGTAGACAAAACTAAATACACAGACATAATATGAGATCAACTTCAGCAACATTGGCAGAATATAATTATACATAACATATCATTTGAAAATGTTTCATAATTTAAGTATCTGGGAACAACAATAACAAATAGAAATGAGGTCCATGATGAAATTTCGAGTTGAATACATTCGGGAAACACTTGTTTGTGTTCAATTCAAAAATAGTTATCTTGTTTGCTATTCAAAACACTAAATATCAGGATATATAAAACAATAATTTTGACTGTTGTCTTGTATGGTTGTGAAACATGGTCTCTTACCTTGAAGGAAGAAATGACTGGTGAATTTAGAATATTGCATAACGAGAAGCTGCGTGAATTGTACAGGTCAACCAACATAACAAGGATATTGAAATATAGGAGGCTCCGATGGGCTGTAGCACACTTGGGGGCTGCAAGGGGTGAGTTTTGATAGGGAATACTTCTGGAAAATGACCACTGGGCAGACCAAGAAGGAGCTAGGATGGTAATATCAAGATGGATCTTAGGGAGGTGGGCTGTGAGGGTGGTAAATGGATTGAGTTAACTCAGGACCGTGTCCGATTGCAGGCTTTGGTGTTTGACCTGTAGGTTCTGCTAGCAGGGAGTTAGTTTGTAACAACTCTATTCATCCCACCCTCAGTAGTGCTCATATTGAAAATGAATTTAGTTCTTTCGATTTTCTCATTATCAGGGCTTGAAAAATATAGTCACCTCTGTCAAGAGATTTAATGAACGTTTGAGTTGTAATTCACAGTATAAACTGAAATAAATATAGTTTTGTTTCAGGACTTTTCTCTCCCAACTTGATATTAATATTTTGGTGACATTCTTCCAGATGTTTCTCTTATGTCAATCAGATGCCATTGGCCAGATAAATATAATAGTTTAAATGGCTATGTAGTGTATTAAAAATTAACATCATTTAGTCTTCATATGCTATAATGATAATAGAGTATTTATTTTAAAGGCTTTGGGGGTTGCAAATTAATTATTATTTTGGTGAGTAGAAGCTGACATTTTTCATAATAACTACCGATAACTATACTTTGTAATATTCTGTATTAGTGGCAACTGGTCCTAGGGTAACCAGTAGTCTATAAGGCCCTAATTACTGAAAAGAAACCAGTAATATAATTATTGATGCAATATTCAAGCAAAGGTATGTTACCACTTTGTACAATCAGATGGTTTGGTAATAATACAGTACTTAAATGACATTTTGGCATGTGACTAAAGATTTATTACTCTTCAACTGTAATATAGGTCTTCATCCCAACTGCATAATTTCTTACCATGTTAAACAGTATATTAATGAGTGCACTAAAATACAACCACACATATTGTGTAGTTATATGGAATATTGTGACTCCAAATGGTTGGACATTTTCTCCAGCACTGTTTGTAATGTGGCAAAGTACTTGTTGGACAACAATTGCATGTCCTTGTTATGTTTTCTGATGCCATCATATGGCATTTGGAAGACACTAGATGGCACAATGTTCAGCACTTCTTCACCTTCTTCAAATTCATGTCCATTTTTATCACATTTGAAGTATTTCTCCTGTAAAGGAAAACACGGAAATAATGTGATAAATGTAAGACCATGATAGTAGTTTGGATTATTAACTGTTCTGTTGTATCAGCTACTAACATTATACAGCACTGAAAAACAAAAGGTGGATAAGGAGAGATAAAGGAAGGGGTTCATCTCAAGGCACTAGCTTTGTATTCTTATGTAAAGACTGAGTAAAACCATGAAAACTTAGGTGGGATAGTTATTCTGTTGTTCAGATCAATTAACATTGTTAATTGTTTATTATGAAGGGTTCAACTTTGCATGCCATTATAGGAATTTGTGGCTTAAGAGTTAATGGCCATATCCGTTTCTTGTAAATTGATAAGCGCAAGAAAGGATGCAGTTGTGGTCAGCCACAAGATACCATACTCATACCATTATTCGTTCACTGCCCTTCTCCAGTTAGTAGTTCATACTTCCGAGCTCCATAAATTGCATAGACTGAAGTGTGGGATTGTACGTTGTGACAGATTTTCCTCAGATCTAACAGCTATAACCACAGTATTAATTAATTAATTATAATCATCATAATACACAGCATTATTGTAATTGGCCTTGCACATAAGTATAAGGCATTTGAACTACATAAATATACATTATGTTTTCATGTTACAAACAAAATAAATAATTTGAAAATAATATATGAATCAATCTTCTCCTACTATATTACAAAGTAGATTAGCCATTCTGTCAAGTTCTTAAAATAAATTGTTCTGAAATCATTAAATTTCTTATATGATGTGAAGCTTTTGTGGCAACTAAACTCAATAAAATAATCTTGGGAAATCAGCCACATGAGTTGGTTACATGAAGAGACTAATGTTTCAGGAACCAACTCCAGCTCCATCGTTAGGGTTCTGATGTGACTGGATACCAAATAATCTCTTATATATAGGTATATATGTTTGTCATGGTTGGACCTTAGCCAATCGGCACTGGTGGACAGAGTCAAACACTCGTACTGTGTGGCTCTGCTTTCCTATCGGTGTTTTCGCCAGACTGCTTGAGCATGTTTGTCACAGGATACCATGCCTAACTAAAGGTGAAACTCCTGTCCCTACCGAAGTTATTGGGATGTAGGCAGGTCTCTGTGACTTCTTTTATAAGGCAGTTTATGCATCCTGTTACTTTTTATAGTATTGTGATGTTGAAGTCAATCTTGTGTCCTACTACAATGTCATGTTTTGCCACACAGACTGGTTGGCCAAGATGTATATGTCTCATATGCTCTTTGCATCTGGTCTTAATGGTTCTTCCAGTCTGTCCAACATAAACCTTGCTGCATTCACAGGAGATATGGTACATGCTGGGGACCTTCAGACCCAAGTTTTCCTTGACAGATCTGAACATATGGATACTTCTCCTGGCTGGGATGTGGATGGTCTTGATGTTATATTTAGCCAGCAGTCTGCTGATCTTGTTTGTGGACACTGCTGGTATGACAACATGGCTAAACTGGTCAGCTCCACATGCTGCAGCTACAGCTCATGTTTGGGCTAGAGAGCCATTGAGATCTGCCTACATCCTAATAACTTTAGTAGGGACTGAGGTTTCACATTTAGTTGGGCATGGTATCCTGTGATAAACATGCTCAAGCAGTCTGGCGAAAACACCAATAGGAAAGTAGGGCCACACAACACGAGTGCTGACTCCACCCACCAGCTCAGACCAACTAAGGTCCAGCCGTGAGTACCAGTCCCAGACAGGCATATGTAGCAGATGATTGTAGTATCCAGTCATATCAGAACCCTGATAATGGGGGCGGAAGTGGTTCCAGAAATGTTGGTCTCTTCATGTAACGAACTGCCCGACAAGGTTGTATCACATTAAATTCGTTGTTTATTAAGAGACAACTATATATTTGTTTTGAACAAAATGAAAAAAATACCCCATTAGGGCTGAAAAGTGGTAAAATTATTTTCTATAAATTCCCATATAACAACTCTCTTTACGCCATACTTGTAGTCTGTCCACCTGGGGCAATAATGGTTACAGTGCTTGGACTGTCATCTTTTGAGCAGGCAAGTCCATGGGAGAAACACATAAATGAAAAATCAATTCTTGCATTACCCAAAGAGTGGTCCTTTACCATAGGGGATTTAAACCCCTATATATGGGGCTGGGTGGACTTCAACTCTGGGTTTAATGATTTAGTGGTATGCTAATGCAATACATGGTTACCTGACAACTTATAAGCCATGACACTCAGCTGATACAGCTTAATGGTCACAGGAAAACAAAATTTAATCAAAAACTGATGGTTAGCTTCGATTTAGTAATAACAGTACTGATGGTATGTGTAGATCAAAGTAACATCTCCTTTTGTATTAAGGCTTGGATAGCCTCCTAGTAACCAGACCAGAAGGAAACTGGGGAGACAAAGAGTTTATGTTACAGATTGAATTATCAGAGCTTGTAAAATATTTGTGTACTTATCACAGGTGACTGACATGTCAGTGCTGAGCAGACTGAAAAGTTGTGACTGTGACTGCTAGCTTTTTTCTTTGCCTTCTTGAATCCTGATAATGGGAAATTTAACACTTTAAATCCCACTGTTAACTATATATACCTCCTGCTTTCTTTAACAGTCAGGAAATTTTGCATTTAGTACTTTGTGTTTTATTTGATTGTCACCGTAAACAGCAATTATTTCCATAAATAGTATTAATCAGTTAATCTTTTTAATGGTGAAGTGTTGTGTTTTCTTTGAGGTATGGGCTGAATTCTTAAATAATGTTCAGATAAGCTGTGGCTTCAAAGTGTTAACATTTTGTATGTGTTTCACTCACTAAGTTCTAAATTTGCTTCTTGTCTATTACATCATTAATACTTAAGTTATTTTCTAACCTGCCAGTTATAAACTATTAAAGACATTTTGTTGTATGTAGTTTATAGTTGAGTAAGTTTGTTAAAATTAAGCAAATGAAGATCATGCAATGTATAAATTTAGCTCTAGAGACAAATTTCCAGTGATGCTTAAAAATCACAAAAAGTGTTTTACATGTGAGAAACACGCCAGAATGACCTTTCATTTCCATAATTTTCACTTATTCTCACTGGTACCTAAACGCGAAAAGCTGTGTCATCACCAATATCTTTGCATGCTACCATGCTGGCCAACATTATGGAATAAATATGATGGAAATTACTCAAAAGGAGTTGGGTGCTTCCAACACAACTAAGATGCACAAGAGATGGCACTGCAATACTTTGTGCACAGTGACTGAATTTACTGATTTTAACACATCATCTACTCTGTTATATGAAAGTAAGTCTAACAGACCTCAGTCCAACAGCAGTACGAGTCCCTGTACTCACTGTGAACCACCTGCCTTCAAATCAATGTGATATTTCAGCTGAAAATTTAATTTCTGAGTTTGGTTTGATTTTAAGGTCATGCCATAAGTCAGAAATTTAGATGCTGGATTCCTACCCTAAGGGCATTGGTTAAACTCCAGAGAAATACTCATGGGATTTGTGGAAGAAAAATGGGATTGTCTTTCAACAGGAATTTTCTCCCTCCCTAATGTCACCCCTAAAGTTTGCATAATTCTGATTGGTTAGCAGATTAACAACTCAGTTTTATATTTCTTCTGACCCAGCAATTGCCTCAAATCAGTGAATATGAGGCAATAAAAAATGGGAAAGTACTTTCATAAGATGAAGCCAGAGAGTAGGAAAATGGTAGAATTCATATCACATCCATGCTGTGAACGTTCTCGGTGAGTATAAGATAACATTGAAAAAAATTTGTATTTGTTGGGGGCGGGGGGGGGGGGTAATTAACCCTTTAATACTTTGTGGTAACTGTATGTGGCATCACAGTAACTCTACATTTTGTATGTAGTGTATTTATTTGTTTAAAATGGTACTTAAAGTACACAGTGATTATTTCCCTAACAACACTGATGAATTAATTAATGTTTGTAATGATGAAGCATTATGTTTTTCAGGTAATGGACTAAATATTTAAATACTGAGATGATCTTCAGCTTCAGAGGGTTAGTGAAAAATGCCATAGCAAGTGTTCAGCCAAAAGAGATGTACTGAGTTTTTCATGACTTAAATCTTTGTCAGCTGTACACAAAACTAGTTTGCAGTGCCTGAAGACCAAAGACTGTGTCATCTTCTAGTTCAAATACTGATCTAAAACACCTTATCAGTCAGTCAATTAAAATTACATTTATATTACAATCTTTGGTTTTGTTAGCTTCCAATCAGTGGTATCCCTTTCATTTTTAGGCAACTATATCAAAAATATACCACCTGCTAGATTTATCAGAACATTTTTATTAAGCAAACATAATGACTCACTTCAACATATATGTCAATGTGTTACAATCTGTCATCAACTAAATACATTTGGTGCTCAGTAAGAAGGGCTTAAGCCAACTGTAATATGTATAGACTTAAGCCCTTCTTACTGAAGACCAAAGATATAATTCACTGTTTAAAATCCTTAGTCACTTCAGATACTGATAATATTGTTTACACATAATTTCCTGTGTTTGCATTATTTTATTACCAACACGCGCTTAACAATACTACATACAGAAAGAATTTGCCACCAGAATTTCAACTGAAAACAGTCTATATTTCTTGCCTTACATGGCTGAGAAACAGTATGTCTAAAGCAATGCAGGTTACTTTATTTGGGTGTGGTGAGGTAGACAGCTTTCTTCATTGCGCACCCAATCCAAGAACAAGATACTTCCGTTAGCTCAGACATATGACTTTCTTGATAAAACAACAAAACGAGGAAACGTGATAACACATATCTCGAGTCCCTTTACTAGTATAAGACCTTGTGTGGCTTAACTTTTCTATTTGACAGCTGACAGTGATGTTAACACTGAAATCAGAGCAACTGTTTTGTGTACAGTATGATACTGAGATACAGAGTGCATGTACAGCTTCTTGAGGTGCTTATAGCTATATCAGTTTATACTTGTAATTCGATTGAAACAATATGCAGAAAAGAGATAAATAACAACATGAAATTCAACATCACATGTACATGCAATGATAACATTAAGGTATGAGAAATTGTTTGGTTCATTAACATTAGATTAATTACACTGCAAACATTACTTATTTTCTTCTTTATAAACTGGAAACTGTAAAATCTGTGTCAGTTTAATACAATACAGAAAACATAATTTCCATTAATTTACTAAAATGGTCCGTGTTTACTACTTTCAAAAGCGTGACTTCTGAATGTGCTCTTATTAGGAGCTATGTGACAACACAAAATATGGCTTCTTGATTTCGTGCTGACAACACTGGATGAAACATAACAATGCAAATTTCTTCATGCTGGGAAATTAACAATTTTATGACTTTAGCATGAAGTATCTATGTTAGAATATCATGTCCATGTAAACAGATATCAAATGTAAAACTCAAATAGATGCTTGTAGAGTTAATATGAAAATGCTAAAACACAAAAGACCACATTTCAAATCTTCATTGCATTGAACACCTCAAATCTCATATAACAGTTCCATGATTAGAATCCCTTTGTACTACACAGTGTTATAAATCAGAAGACCACAGTCCAAATATTCTACTGCATGTTAACGAAAAGATAGTTTAATTTGAATTGCTTTTAATGAAGTAATGGTACTCCTCAGCTCTACAGAGTATTAAGTACTTCACTGCTTAAAGCATCTATGGACAGACTACTTTTTGTGTGTCCAAGTACTATACCCAAATGTATGATTTGAAGGTTTCATGGTGACCAAGTATAATAAATTCTTCTTGGGTTACCAGCTGTGTAAGGTGGCTTGATGAAGAAAATGCCAACCTTACATGGCTGGTATCCTGAGAAGAATTTATTATACTGGAAAAAACTGTGCCAATGCCTAATCCGTACCAACTGCCTTGATTAAATCACCTCATTACTAATAAATGAAACGTACAAACTATAGAGAGCCTTGTTACATAATTTTCTCCATTCCTTCGAAACAGTGAACATTTGAATCAAGTGACTGATTTTCATGGTGATGTAATGAATATTGTGCTGTCAGAGGTTTAACCTCCCAATTCTGCTTTACTTCATAATTTCCTATGACCTATGCTGTGTGAAAGCCATACAAATTTCTGTGATAACAGCAACATTAGCACCGTTTAATAAATCCAAACTGTTGTTCTTTCACGTCTCATATACAGTACCACTGTATGATGGTGACAAGTATATGAAGTTTATAGCAAGTCAAGCAGGCACATAAGAGAAGCATGTGGTGGGATCCTGCTCATCTGTTTCTAAGTCATGTGCCTCAGAATATAAAAATAGGAATGGTTGGATATATTTAAATGTATTACTTGCTTTTATTAAACAAACAAAACTCAAAATATGTTATTGCTTGAGGGCAGTAGACATTAGTAGTAATTCATAATTTAATAAAATAATAAGAAAAATCAAATTACAATGGAGTGGTGGACATGCATTTAAATTATTATGAGTAGTAAATTATCCAGATTTAAAGCATGTTTTATTAAGCATGATATGAACAAATTTTCATGATTATGCACTGGGTGCTATTAAATACAGAAATTCCTCAACAACAGATTTCAAGTATACATGGTGTCCAGTTCTGCTAGCCGTATTTGCTTTTATGTAATCATGGTCTGTAACATGTAAAAATGGAAAAATACCCATGATTTTGTTATCAAGAGATCTACATTGATTGGTTGCACAACTTAATTTTTTTCAAAACCAGTTTGTAGCTTCCAGATTATAAATGCCATGCAAATTGTATATGTTATGCTGCATTTATTTTTAAGCATGATATTGCATATTGTGTTTGGTGAATGAAAAGGTAACTTTGGCTTAGAGTAGTGTTAACAGATGCCATGGTTCACCTAATCCCCACTTCCGACAAGCTATTTGATTTTGTCAACTATAGTGATTCTCAGGAAAATAAATGCTTTGGTTGGTGAGGAACTGCTGTATTTATGTTATCCATATACATATATATATTGTACATGGGTGTGCATTATATTAGTCTGTAGTGGATACTACCACTCATGTGAGGCATAACCCTCTGAAACGTAGTCTGTTCAGCCCAAACCATTATGTCATATTTGATATTGTTCAAATTATTCATTTGAGGTTTTGGGTGAAATTTTACAAAAAAATATTTTTTCAAAATTATGTATTTAATGCAAAAATTTTCATTTAACAATATAAATGTTTCCTGATACATTTTTCAAAAAGGTAGATAATAAAGAGAGAAATTTTCAGAATTTAAAATAAGGAAGAAGTCCTGATCGGTCAATATTTTACAAATACCTAATATTGGTCACAAACTGTATTAAAATGGATTGTTGTAATCTGTCTGTAGGTATTACGAAGCTTGTCTGAATTTTCTGTAACAATATAATGTACTAAAACTGTGTATAATTTACTATTGCCAGGTTTTCCGGGTGTTTGAAGAATTATACTTTGAAGATGCCCAGTACGTCACAATCAGAAACTGTGAAAAGTTGATTCTTGAAAGTACAGATATTACATCCTCAGATCTAGAACAGCTACGGCTACACAACATACACACTGCTATTTTCAGTCTTTTCCTACCTTCGAGTCTTTCATCATTAGAAATTGAAGATGTTGGTAATCTGACAGGATTGTCATACCACATTTTTATACATGTGTCATATCTACAAAATTTAGTTATCAAGAATACAAATGTCCAGTTTGTTGAAAGCCATATATTCTCAGATATATCTGTGGAAAGCATCCATTTCATTAATACAACCTTTAAATATCTTAAATCAAGCTCTATGAATTTCACTGGTATGAAAGATAGTCTAAATTCAGTCATCCACATTGAAAAATGCACCTTTGAAAAATTAGAATCAAGTGCTATTTCGGTAAAAGGAATAAGTGCATTTCAGATCTTAGATTCAGAATTTAAGGAGATCCTTAAAGAAGGCACTTTCAGAATATTAACCACAACCACCCTCTTGGAATCCAATACTTTTACCTGCAGTAAGGGAGATGATACTTGTAATAAAGACATACACTTTGGTATACTGGAAAACTTGAAAGGATTTACTCAGCATAATTCTCAAGACATGTGCAAATTACTTCAGATGAACTATTGTAATTCCCAGAAGACAAAGTCATTGATAAGGTCCTTACAGACCTGTTATCCAAAACTCCTTGAATATGAAGGCAGTAAATCATGCATGCCTCTTGAATCAGACAAAGGTCATAATATTTACCTTAATATCAGCCTTTCTTTGGTTTGTATACTTGTTCTAAAAGTAATGTGATAAACCATATATGCTTTTGTGAAAACAGTAATGAACCTTCAGGTTCCATAAAGGGTGAGGAACATCTTGATTGGTTGAGTCACTGTTTGCTTATCCAAAAGGACTATGCTTCATAGAGCTAGTTTGTTAGTTATTTTTAAACCATAATATAAATTGAAGAAAATTTTGAACTTCCAGTATGTCTCACTTGTATCTGTTTTAGTGTCTACAACTTGAGGTTATCTGATGGTAAAATGGATGAAATAAAACAAAACACATGTATCCAAGAAATAAACACATCTCTCATTAAGCATGTAAAATCCAACCATTTTATTGTTACTTTATGTACATTGTTCAAATGGCACTGTGAAAATCACGTACCTCAGCACCAAGTGACTGAAAAAAGTGTTTTGTTACTTTAATCAGTAAGTTACAAGGATGGCACTAAGTTGTTTCATGTACTTCAGCAAGGGAAAACAGAGATGCATTTATTAAAATCTTTTGGAACCATATTTAAATCTGGTTTCTAATACTTCATGCACTTATAGAATTGCAAAATGTAAGAATAAGCACATAAAATACTGGACCATGTGATTCCATAGACTGTTTGTATGTAATTACCTCTTTATTACTTGGAGCTTACTCTTGTAGATAAAACATTCTGAACCATTATTTATTTCTTTAAAACCTAGCTGTACTATTTACAGTGTATTCCGGTTAATTGGGCCATCGGTTAATTGGGGCAGCCGCATAATTGGGCCAGTGTTCTAGTCCCAATTAACCGGAATCCACTGTATATAAGTTTTCTATGACCTCTCGGTTGTTTGTACTTTCATATATGAACTTGATTATGCTGGCTCAAAATAAAGTAGGGCTATGAAGAAACCCCTCAACATTAGATATCTGTAGGACTTTCTTTGCTTCTGCCTCATATGACAAATTCCTACAATCCTGGATACATTATGAGTACAAGAAAATTCAAATAAAGAACGTGTAAGCACATGACTATATAACTCACTTATGAACTTTTTTTAGAAGAATATTTAGACCTAAAGTTCTTTTCTCTATGATTTTTAAGCACTGTGTCATGAACACACATCATGAAGTGGATACAAAGCCCTAAGCAACAAAGGACTGAACATGATAGTAATTGAGTAAAAAATTACCATATGGGGGAAACAAATAGCACATATTTGGAAGAACTGAGAAATGCAACAAATACCGGGTCTACAATTTATGAGGCTGCGGTCGTGCTTGCATTGCGTGGTCGGCCAGCGCTCTGTTGATGTGGGCGGGAGTTGTGCCCGTTCTTCCGGTGGGCGAATCAGTTTCAGTGCCGCTAATAACAGCAGACTACGAATATTTCTCGTCACTAATACATGTTATTACATTAATTGTTCTTATCTTAAATCACAAAAGATGTTCAAAGTGACTTACTTGTGCTTGCATGCAACTTCACATCTCGTTAACATGTTTCGAAATACTTGACGAAGCTCTTCTTGGGAAATTGTCAAATATTTTCTTTAAGTGCTTCTGCAGTGTGCGGATTGTTTACATAAACTCTGTTCTTCAGCATGCCCCACAGGTAAAAAGGGTTTAAATCTGGGGAACGCAGAGGCCACTGATCGATAACTTGTTCACCAAGCACTTCTCTTAATGCTAACATCGACCGATCAGCTGTGTGAGCTGTAGCATTGTCTTGCATGAAGAAACCGTAAGTCTTTTCTTCATCGGCCATTTCTTGGAAAAAGGGTCTAACTATTAAATTTGCATAAAGTTCACAATTTATCCGCACACTGCAGAAGCACTTAAAGAAAATATTCAGCAATTTCCCAAGAAGAGCTTCGTCGAGTATTTCGAAACATTAAGTATTCTCTGTAAAAATTAAAAATATCTGATGAGGAACAATCATGTATCTGAATGATGGACTTACTAGTAGAACTGTAAACTGCTGTGTCAAGAATCCAAGATTAGTATGAAGCTTGCAGTACATATCACAAAGTTTGATGTTCTCGTCAACCAATCTGCGGTTGTTGTTCTCAAATTTATTGATCACCTTTCTGTACAAGTCTTCTTGTTCTTTAGGCCTGTAACATTAAAATTAAAATTCTAGTAACACAGAAAAGTTTGAAGTGATCAGTAAATTATCAGAAAAAAGTTGTGTGGAAAGGGTCAAAATAAACAACTAAGTTTCAAAACTACAATGCAATTCATTTACCATAGGCTACACATTTCTTAATCATTTGAGCATGTGACTTGCCCATATGTACTACACGAAATATGCCTACATTTAACAATTTTTTTTAAACATGCCATTATTCAAAATTAAAAACAAATTGGGATAGGACTACTGACATAGTATTTATGTACTGTATGAAATATGCCATTGAAATTCCTAGGCAATATAATGCACCTCAGTTCTGAAAACTTGAAATTATAAATACTGAATGCACTTTGAAATGTATGGAAGAATTATTAACAAATAACTTGAGAAACTTATTCAAATAATCATGATGCTCCCAGGTTTTATGATAACAGTATATGAAGATTCAATGTCATGTTAACAAATGCTATCTTGCCTTGAGTTATTTCAAGTCAGTTCACATGTATAAACACTGACAGTTTTTAAAGAGTAGTAGTATGCGTAAGATTTTCTAAACTCAGTGACTCATGATATTCCAGGAACATATTTTAAAGGACCTTCAAAACAGATACAGGTTCCAATTCTAAAAGGCTTTGACAAAGGTAGATTACACTTAAAATTATTCATTGTCAGGAATTTTTCCATTGTCTATTCTTTACAGGTTTCATCTAAGAAAGAGAGCAAACATGTTAAATGTCATGCACTTTATTTATTTGTGGTTTATGTAACAATGCTGTTAATAGCTCAGACTGAACAGCATTGAATGATGGGTTGGAAGGGATATGGAAGGAAGTGACCGTGGTCTAATTAAGGCTCTTTCCTGGCATTTTTGTGGATGAACCAAGTAAAACAATGAAATCAGTTATGATTGCTGGTATCCAGCTGATATTTGAATTTGTGACCTCCCAGATATGAAGCAGCAATGATAATCTCTCAACTCTGATGTTTGGTAAATCTTGTTCAAAGGGCTATCATACAGCTTAACAATAAAGACTGCAAAGCTGAACATGTCGAAGTGCAGTACCCATGCTTCAGCAGTGGGGAAGTTTAATGAACACTAGATGTTCTTAGTCTTAGTATGGACAGGGAGGGGGAATTAGACTTTTGGCGGGGTAACTCTAATGGAGAAGCCACAGATAAATTCAAAAGAAACAGGTATCACACAACCAACTTAACATCACAATATGAATGTTTCTTACATAATTGTTTTTCCTCGAGAATCTGAAGACATATCAAGAGTGCTGCTGCTACTACACACTTCATGGGCTGGTTTTCCATTGTTTTCCTGCTGCTTTTCTTTCATTACTTGAAGTGCCAAAGAACAAGGCAGGCCCAATTTACGACGTAATTGTTCTTGTACATGTAGGACTTCATGCTCCTTCTTTCGCAATTCGTGGGTATGTTGACAATCATGCCAAGTCACTTGGGCCATCAGACGATGCACCTGAAATATATGTAATTTGTTTTATGTGGCTGTATAAGCAATATTTTCTTTGTAAGATTTTAGGTTTTCACAGCGGTGAGTATGAAGATTTCTGTCTTCTGGGTTGTTGCACTGTGTAGTCTTGTCGATGTTTACCAGTATGACCTCTGAAACGTTGGTAAACATCGACCAGACTACGCAGCGCAACAACCCAGAAGACAGAAATCTTCAATATTTTATTTCTATGTACTCTTCCTAAAATGACACTTCTGCTTTAACCTCACAATTTTACTCATCACAAAAATGATATAAGACTCTGCTGCCCCTGGCAATGATGAACAAGATGGTGTACACAATAGAAGAGCATTAATGAAAAGACTTTGTCAAACTGACAGTATTATTCAAGTTCAATGTGAATTTTCAACTAAATTTTTAGCACAAGAGCTCTAAGCTGGTCTCCGGTAAGCAGATATTGAAATACAGAAAATGTGGCTGACAATAAGAAGGGTTTCAAGCTTTCATGGGGATTTATTATTTATGTTGAACCTGCTTTTGGGTGCTTGCACCACATTGAATTTGGCTTCTTGCTGACATTTCAGAGGCCCTTACTGCCTCTTTCATTAGTGCTGAAGTAAGAAAGGTTGCGAAGTAGCTGGTTTATACCAGAATGAGGTCATGGGAATTGATCAGAACCATGAACAAGGAGGGGCAAGATGCAACTATGCCTGTGTCAATGAGAAGGAGCCCTTTGTGGGGATGAAGGAATGTGCCCTTTTAGGGGACCTACACGTGGGTGTGGACGACTGGCACAGGATGTCAGTGACTACATGCGGAAAAAATAGATGAGAGGAGGTAAGACAGAGTATGAAGTTACTGCAGCTGTTACTGACCATCTGGCTGTGGCATCCTCTCTCCTTAAGTGTAAGGATGGCATTCTTCCAGGCTGGACTGGACTGAATTGCTGGCAACAAGCTAATTTCTACAAAAGCAGGTTCAACATCAGGAAGGATGTGTGTACAGAGTTAGAACATCAATAAAAACTGTACATACTCAACAAGTTTGGTATACAGTTCCAAAATCTCTTTCAAGACATCACACTTTCATTCCCTACCACAGTAATACCAACATGAATGTAGCAACTCTCATCCATGAAAAATATATCCTGATTATAGTGGTGATTAGTTCCTTCATAACACTGATGACCATCTATAAGGCTACATGACATCATATCTTACAGGACCAGAATATGAACATTCACTACCGCAAAAATCACAAATCTCACACAGGCAGAACATCAAATTCTGAGTAAAGTGAAAGTTTACTGATACAATGTGGACATAAGAATTAGCCACCATGTTCATCTGAAATGAAAGCTGAACAACAATATAATTCATTTTCCCAAGACATTTTTCTAGCCCACTTTCCTTATTTTGTATGAAAAGACAAGCTTATGACACCATGTATATTCATCTGGGAGTATTGAATTACATAAAACTTAGATCAATGGAAGGAGAAGTTCATTCTCACTAATATCCTTGATTTTCCAGGTTAAGCAACAGTAACTATGACCCTATCTCTGCCTGTTATTTCCACATTGGTCTGCCCTTGAATAACGATACCAGGTTCTTTGAGCCAAGTGTATGTATGTACACAGTAAACGCCATCACTCAGTACAATAAATCCTGATGAAAGAAACACAGTCTCTGAAACATTAGCAGTTCATTCCATGCTGACATGGTTGATCATCCAAGAAAACTTCATTGCAAAATTATTATTTCTAGATTGTACATTGAAGGACGTGAATGAAGTAGGAATCATAATTTCTTCCCAGAACTTCTTGAATTTACCTCATCTTTTCCAGTTCTGAGATCACATCGAAGTTTATCACACTCAGTAGTTAGTCTTCGCTCCTTCTCACTGGCAGCAGATAATAGCCGTTCCTTGTTTGACAATTCTGTTTTCAAGCGATCTACTTGAGACTAGAAAAGATATATATCAAAATAATTAAACATATATGAATGTAAGGCCTTAGCAGACTCTGAATGTGCACTACATTAAATTTCATTTTGAAAAGAATGTGGATTAGAAGTGTTTAGTTAAAGTAACTAGCTGTCCCATTTCAACAGATAGAAATATTAACACTTTAAAGCCCAGTGGTAACTATGTGTACCACCTACTTTAAAATCAGCGACTTTGCATTTTGTCTACATTGTGATTATTTCCTTAAATGGCATCGACAAACTGGTCTTTTTAATGAAGCATTGTTTTCTTCAAGGCAGATTGTATCTTCATATACTATTTGGACAAGCTTCAGATTCAAAGGTTTAAAGGAAACAATAAATTTTACACAAAGATAAGTTTATCAAATTCTGAAATGGTGAAGGATATTTTGGATGGCAGGAAGGAATAAATTGTCCAATCCAATAACCAGTTCAAAATACCTAGCAATGTTATAAACCTAACCACCAAGTGGAAGCAATACACAACAGTGACATATCATATTACCTGAAGGTTTTTATTGTCATATGCTACTCTATGCCGTACGTCTTCCACTTCATCACACTGCTGAAGAGCAGATCGGTGAAGATGTAATAAATTCCAAATTGTGTCTATTAAAGAAGATACCAAGGAAGTCACTTGTGTTTGCAACAATACACTATCTTCTTCATATTTCAATTGAGGTAGTGGCCGTAAACCAAAATATTCAAGTTCCTAATAAAAACAGAAGTAAACTGTAGAATGCAATACAAATTTTCACACTGTAAGGTAAAGTCTTCCCTGTGCTTAAGCACCGCAGAAGATGTATGCTCTGGACACTTTACCCTTAAGGAAATATTCCCTGGTATAAATTGAATAGGATCTGATTGGGCCCAGGAGCCAGTATGGACAAGGCAATAAATGGAAAACTCATGCCTATGAAGAGACTCAAATCCTGGTTGTCCAGTCTACAACCAGTCTCCATACTGACCGAGGTAGAATAGCTCATGTAAGTCTTCACATTGATGTCCTTAAAAACAGATGCAGAATGTTCACAAACTTTTGCTGTGATTCCTGACACTGGTATGGTATTGACATTCTGTTCACATTTTTGACTGGCTCGGGGGCCCTCCAACCCTAATATTCACATGTATTAGAGAATATTTCCCTGCAGCAGGGAAGCATCTTGTGGTGTGGTACTTACATACTACAAAAACTTTAGTGGTCACTGAGTTATGTAAGAACAGTGATTGGTGATAAATAAATGACAAACTCAAGACATTCACTAAACAGGAAGTTCAGGAATTGGGTTACTATACATAAATGCAGAAGTAACTTAGACTATGTCACGGGCATACTAACATATCTGCATAATTAGAGATATCTCTGATTTAACAACTTGAAGTGTAGTGGGATGTATATTTAATGCCAGAAAGGCACAATGTTGATTCTGCTGTACACAGTTACATTCGGGCATATGAACACATAAAGCACATTTGTTACACCAAATAAGCAAAAGAATTTAGTCTCCTGTAAATCAGTCACTTTGTTGGTATGCCCTTGTGGCATGATGCTCTTTTAGCGTAAAATGATGGGATGATTAATGAATAACAAATTGAAGGGCATGGAGGTGGTCATGGCCTACTATCCCACTAAATTTGGCTGAAAGGAATAAGGCAAATGTCTGACCACCTCAGTTAGGTAGGTCGATCTTCAGGCCAAGATTTAAACTCTAGAGTTCTGGAATATGGGGCAGGAGTACTAACCACCTGGCCGTGACATTCAGTACACTATGCATGCAGTATACTTAAATGTGACGTACAATAACCGACTTAATACCATTAATGCGGTTAACCTTACTGTGACACACAATGACGTAGATTATCTCAATACCCAGTATACATTCAACATAAAAAAATAAATCTTACATCTGACAAAGGTGGAATGGAAGATATAATGTCATTAAAACTAGAACATGAAACTGACGAACTATTGAGCTCAAAAGATTCTTCGGAACTTAACATGATACCAGTCTCAGACAATTTTTCAAATATCATGAGCACATAAAGTACACCAACGGCATTACAAAACTGAAAATGAAATTATAACTACGCATCTACTATGCCGCTCTCACTTTCATGAAAAATGGGAAGTCAGAAACAAAATTATACATATCGATATATCGAAGAAATCAAAGTTAATCTAAAATTAGTGGCAAAAGGTACAGAATGTGAGTGATTCACTTTCCACTGTTCATTGCACTGAACGACCGTCTTCTTAACTCATAATTTACAGCAACTAACGTAATATAGCCCGTCACAGTTGACGGGAATTAAACTTTTTTGTGTTGAACAATAATACAATTTATTGCAACATTATCTTTTCAAAACACTTTGAAAGTACAAATTTTATATAATGTCTTTATAAGGTAAATTTCACGTGAAAAAAGCTTCACTTCACCTGAAGCCAGAACAGACTACTGTTTAATGTATAATTAATTCTCGGGCTACCAGCTGTCAGGTGGTTTGGAAAGTGAAAAGATGTTTTCCAGATTTTCGCTTTTCAACCGCCTGACACGGCTGGTAGCCTGAGATGAATTCATTGTATACAGTGTATTGATTTTGGAAATTGTTGCTTGGTGGAGAAGGAGTTTTTGGATTTGGAATAGTACACAATGTGTCAGAGGTAACATAAATAACAGAAAAGTTCTAGCAGAAGACGTCGTCTGTGGTACAGGGACTTTGTAACCTGTGGTACCAACGAACGTGCGTTGCCAACTGCCGATTTTATGTTACATATGAAGTTGGCAATGACGACAACGAATTAGGTTCTTTTAGTCGAGTGCCTCGTGAATATGGTAGGTATGGTAGTCGTTTAGTTAAAATATATCATTAAAGGGAATCAACATCATCTACTTTATTTGCAGTTTCAGTATCATTCTGAAATTAAATATGAATCTACCGCTTAGTGAGCTTATTAGTTGGATTATTTTTTATTTTACTGTCTCATGATAAGTTGGGTCTATATCTAACACCATGTGTAGAGGTTCTTGATTAAATATTTTGTGAGTATTAAATGAATTTTTACAAACTGTTATTAGGAAGTTGGTGTATTTCACGGCGCCCAAATTTTTTTTTCAGACGAAAGGTACGTCAAGTTTTGGTAAACGTCGCAATAAGACTCATACGCTGTGTCGGCGATGTGGTCGCTCATCTTACCATATCCAGAAATCAAAATGTGCGCAGTGTGGATACCCCAGTCGTAAATTAAGACACTGTAAGTTGGCGAAGAGTTTTTTTCTTGAAATTCACAGTGTTGGAATCACATTTTTATTGTTGCTACATTGAACTTATATGTCTCTACTTGAAAATTGTAATTACTTTTGGACTGTTGCTTCTGTAAGAAATGTACATATTTCTGAACTGTATAGTTTAATCTCAACGTACTATTACATTTTAGCATGCTTCTCACTTGTGATAAAGATAGATTTTTACCATCGTTATTTGTATTTTACCTTCAGGCCCACTATCAGGGCCGTATAGAACCAGACTTTGTCATTGTTGTTTTGTTTGTGAGTTTTGTTGCATTTTAATGTTCTGTTATGGTCTGATGTGAATGAATTATGTGTTGTTGCCTATACCTCTTCAACATTAGTCTAGCATACCATTCTGGTAGGAAGAGAATGAATCTCACCATGTTGAGATTCAGTTTATTTTTCAAACTCTAGTTTTATCCAGGCATATATAGCTGAAGAAACTGACATACCTAGCCAACAGCAACTCTAAAAAAATATGGCCAGTGATGCAGATGTTGATGAGAGCCATAATAGGTGTCTTCTGGAACTGTTGCACAGGGACGTAGTTGTGTTGCTAGTGAATCTGCTTGTTCCATAATGGCTGTTCACTATCTTTGTGACAGTGCTATTCTTTAAAATTATATTTTCTAGAAGAGGTAAATGATAAAGAACTGTGGTTTCTGAATACTGACATTGCTTGATGGTTAGAGGATGTTTACAGTTATGACACGGGCTGTCTTCCTTCTGTTTAGCCTGTAGAAAGTTTTCACAGCAGTGAAAGTAAAATGTTACAGAACATTTTACTGTTATCATCATATTGTTTTATCCACGTTATATTTGTTAAATATAACCTTGGATTTTCTTACATCATCACTATGTTCTTAATTGAGATGAGATTATCAGTGTTGAACGTTACAATGTTGCTTTTCTGGACTGTGACACTAGACTAATACGTAGATATCAGCATTTTTGAGATACATACTATCCATCTTCAGGGCTGAGGTGGGAGTATCCAACCAAAACCAGTCAAAAAGCTAACTTAGAACAGCCATGCTCAAAACATGATATCCACTGCTCTGTTAAACCATTCCTGCATAGCTGGATTTGGGGAGTAGTGTCTTGTAAAGTATAACAGGGGATGTGCTTACACCAAAGGATTTTTGTCTTGGTATAAGGCCTTGACATGTTCTAACTAGGGCTGTTGCTGTTAGTGGGAGGTGGTTTCCATGTGGTAATTTGCCCTTTGTGGGAGGCAGACCAGACCCATTTTCAATTATATCTTGCCATTTTTCATATAGCTGAGGAAGAACATACAAAACCTCAGTCACGACAGCTGAATTGTGTTAGACGCTAATTGTGTTACAGTCGACGCAGTAGATTTTGGCCGGTGGAAAAGCTAGTGGAGCTGGCGGACGGGCCTACTCCGTGTACCTGAGGTGGCACGGTCAGTGTATTTCTTTTGTTTGGGCGTTCAGTCCGATAAGCTCCTCGGTGCAGTCAGCATTATACTACCCCACAAGTGACTCGCTCCTAGCCTTCCCCTTGAAAATTCCACCGGCCAAAAACTGCTGCGCCAACTATAACTTTGCTGCTTATTAGAATGTCATTATCAGTTACCTGTGGATGGCTGCAGGCTGCACCTAGTAAGTACAATTGCCTACCAAGTTGCTGAAGTAAATGGTTTAAACTCTCATTAATGCTGTGATGTGATCAGTGACAAATGGAATTCCAAATCATTGCGAATTTGCCTGTTACTAATATACTGAGGTACATTAGTTGCACTGCGAAACACTTGGTTCACAACACTTGCAACTCCAGATTTGGCTGTTGAGTTGGAGTCGGTAAAAATGCACCGACCTCGTTATAAAATCTTAAGAACATTTTCGCTTTAGAGAGATTCATTGACACGTTGAGCCACATGGTGTGGGAATAATGCTTTGTAACTTTGGCTCTGGTACCTTAAAAATACAAATCAACTGATTTATGCAATAACCATTAAATGTGTATTTAAATATAGGTTATAAGTCTAAAAAGTATCCTGATGATTCACGTGGTGGTGATGAAATCTCTTATGGTACCATTTACCATTTTAGTAGGTTTACCATTATTAATACATATTGAGCTTTTATGAAGGAGTCGGAGGTTTTAGTACTGACTCGACAGCCCTGCTGTGAGCAACAGATTTCCAAATGGGGCATCCATAGTTCTTATTAGGTTAGATGAGTTGCTTATAAAGCAGCACACCATGCCTGTTGGACAGGCCACTTCTCTTTTCTTTTGCCTGCCTTAACATTGTATCGAAGATCACCCCAAGATACTGTGTTATTTCGAACCACTGTTTAGGTCTAAATAAACCGAGCTGTCTGGGCCTTTGGTTGCATCTCACACACAGTCTTAACAAAGAGCAATGTAGTACTCTTTCAGTCATTGGTAGCAATCGTTCAGCTCTACTGAGATAAGTCTCCAAGTAACTGACAAGCAGTGATGATTTATGGATATCAGCTATGAGAGCCATGTCATTGTGGCAGGAGGGTGTAAGCATGTTGTTTACATACAGACTGAAGAGAATGGAGAAATGAAATCCAACCCAAAACTACGCTAGACCACATGCTGCAACGTGTAGTGGCTGACTGGAGGGACATGTGGAATGTCCAGGAGTTAAGATATGAGGATATGGTTTTTTCTAATTAGGACAAGAAGTTTAGGATAGTAACCTAGTAATGGAGACCTTTTACCCATAAAGTGTTGAAGGCTTTAGCCACGTCTGAGATCCCCTCACTGGTTAGCCTCTCCTCTTGTCAAAGTTCCTGTTGACTTTTTAAATAGGAAAAGCCAGCTGCAATGTGTACAGTCCACAGATCAGTAGAAAAGCCCTGATAGGAATGCGATATACACGCACGCGCAAGATTTTGCGGTGAGTAACGAGCTGCTACTAGCCAACCTAAAAGCATTCGTTCCACAACCACTGAAGGAACAACAGACAAAAGGCTTTCATAAGTTCTAATGAGTATAGCTTTAAAATTACCTCACAGTGGCCGAGCGAACTCGGAGTCAGAAAAGTCAGTTGCTTCTTCAGACTCAACATCTTCACAAGCAGTCTCTTCGTCATTGCTACTGTCATTTGGATTGGCAATAATTATTGAGTTGATCACGTCAGCAACAACCCCGTTGCGTTCCCAATATTGTTCCAGTTCCACATGTTGGCACCTTCCCAATCCTTTGCAGTCACAGTTGCAATCCCTTCTGTTGTTAAATTCAGCAGCTGCTTCAAAGACAGATCCCCTGTCATGTTCTCGCAAACATAGTTTTTTACCTTAGACCATGCTAGTTCTATTGGGCTAAGGTCACACATATGTGGAGGCAACCTAACTACAATGTGACTATGGGCGTTTAGTAACAGATCATTTCAGATTTAACCGAATATTTTGATGGGGCTTTATCTGCTTGTACACTGTGGTACGGAGCGTTATCAAGTACTACCACTGAACTGGGGGGCAAATTCTGTAACATTTTCTCTCTAACCCACTTTTCAAAATTTTAATTTGTACTGTTCATCTGACCATGGTAGTCGCCACTTGCTGAGCCAGCTTTATATATCAGTCCCGCACCTTGATGGAAACCAGCACGTGATCCAGCATGAACCATAATCAGTATTTTTCCAGCATTTCCATCAGAGCATATCCCTTTAAATTCTGTACTTTGTCAGCACTTTTTGAAAGTTAAATTGCTGTCTACCCAGCTTTCATCTAGGTAGAATATTTGTCTTCCTTCATTGCAAAGCATCTTAATATTCACTAAATACCTCCCTCGCCAGTTTACTATGTCTGGCCTTTCAATCAAGATCTTGCACTTACTTAGACATTTCTTCCACTTAAACCCTAAGTTATGTAAAATGTTCCGTAGAGAATCAACACCCCATGGAAAGTCAATTTTTTTTTAAATATGGGCAGTAGGTCTAGGCCGGTGTTTCCCTGGCGTGTGTAAAGGTGACAGTGCACCCTTCTCATCTCTATCTATTGACTCTTGCATTACCTTCTTAATTAAAGCCTTAGATACACCCACGTATCTGGCTGCCCTGTCTGATGCACGGGTCAAGGGAAATTTGAGCTCTTTCTGTCTTGCTTCCACATCACACAGCTTCACTAGCTGGATATTACTTCCCACTCTTCCCTGTGAATAGTTTTCCCCTGTTTACGTACACTCAACATCTTTAAATCACCTGTGATTGAATATAGAATATTATTACAACACCCACAGAACACAGTACAGATGCACTCAATACACGCTAATCTCAACTGCTTGATCTTTTCAGTCTGTGTAGTAGCATAACTCTCTGGCGTGTCACACTTCCCACCAATAGCAGCCCTCTAGTCCACCAGGCAGTAAACATTCCCCCCTCACTGCACCAGAAACCACTTCCCCTGCAGGGCTTTTCTCGTGATCTGTGGACAGTACTAAGTCTGGATCAATACTCAATCTGATCATCACTCAGCAGACCATGTTCTATGAAAAATTGAGTATTGCAATTCTGAAGTTGTATGTGATTTGCCAGCAAATGTATCAGTACCGAAAATTAAGACAATAAGAATTTTAATTTATGAAAAGAATAATTGTGTCAGTTGTGTGGTTGCTTTTAATATTAATTGCTATACTTAAACATTGTAATAAAATGACTGTTTATGTCTCGAAGAATATCTTTGGAATTTTAGTGCCCTCCAAAAGGTACGCCTTTCTAGTCCCAGTTTTATTGTGTGTTTCAGTCATATATTTTGGTAATACCATTGTTTAATATATTTACTTATTTTTTAACAGATAATTGGAGCGTTAAGGCACAGCGCAGGAAGACAACCGGTACTGGTCGAGTACGTTTTCTGAAGATAGTGAGGCGCCGATTCAGGTTCAGTACATTTGATTATCTTTACACTTAATTTTGTTTGTCTCTTTACTGTAGCTTCATAGACCACTTCTATTGGATCAGAGATTGATATTTAATTTCTAGATAGTGACCTATAAAAAGTATGGATATTTATAAAAAATGTGGCATTAGGTAGATGATATGTAATTGTGTTGCAGGGTGATGTCAGTATTCTGTGTAGTGTTGTACCCAGTTGCATGGTAGTTTTTTTGTTAATTGAAGTGGCAGATTTGAGCAACTTCATGTATTCTTAGATGCTACTGGAAAACTAATAATGGGAAGAAGTGCAAAGATGTTGCAATAAGTCAGATATAGGCAAAGAGTAAATATGCTGAGGTGCTCTCTGGAAGATGTCGCAAGGCAACTGGTTGTGAAGGTGCTTACTCAGTTCACTAGAAGGTTGTTAAAACAGTTGTGAAGTTTGTGTATGTAAAGCCAGTGTTCATTACATTGTGCACAGTGCTATACCAAGACTACTGCGTGCTGTGAAGATGGTCCAGTTCATTGGTGTGACTGCTCTCTGCATGTGTGATGAAAATAAATCCTTTTTAATTGTTGTATCATTTAATGAAGCTGATATAAAACCTACTGGTACTTCCATTCAGCAAAATTTTGTTTTCTGTCCAAACATCAGTGGTAAAAACAGTTAATCTAGTAGTGATGGCATATGTTGAATGATAAAATGACTCTTGAATAACAAATTAAAGTACTATCACAGCATGGAAATAGGAAAACCACAATAAACCTCAGGCAGAATAACCAGTCTTAATGCTGAGTTTTGAACTGGGACTATTGAGAATACAAATTCGGAGTGATAACCACCCTGCTGTGGTGATCAGTGCCACTAATATCAAAAGAAAAGAAATAACAATTCTGTCAGTAGAGCCAGCTCCTGGAACATCATTTGTTTAATGTCTTCTTCCTTGGCCCTACAACCCAGTGTGGGTCTTGGCCGCCTTCTTTTTGGAGGTTTTCTGGTCTTTTTGAAGTGTGCATTTGTGATAAGCGAGTGACCAGCCCACTGCCTCTGCACAATTTCTGCTTGATCCTGATTCCTGTCTGCTAGAACCATCTAGTAGAGAATCAGGGAAACTTGGGTGAGAAATAGCCGCTGAATTTTGCTTATGGAACATCTTGTTCATGCTCGCAAGGTTCTTTTACATGCTGTAAATCTGTGATGTGGGATTGCTGACTTTACTTCCCCTCCGAGGGAAGTTGTGTTATGGATTTTTATCACCCTTGAAAATCTATCGACCTTGGCCAGGTTTGAACGTTCAAACCTTGGGTCCAGTGGCGAGCATGCTAACCACTACTCCACTGAGGGTGACGTGTTTAATATGTAGCTCAACATAATATTCAGTCGTGTACCTTTAGAAAGTCATCAGTAGTCAGTCTTCAAGAGATCATATGACCGTTTTCCTGTGATTGTTATTTTCTGCCATTATCATATGTATTTAGTAGACAGGCATAAATAGTCATAGAAGCTGACATGACTTTAAACCTGCCGCCACCTTGAAATGTTGCCGGAGAATATTGTACAATGCATAGATGAAGTGTACACCAATGAAAGGTGTTTCATTTAGCAAGGTGGAGTACCATCACATTACCACAACAGCTTGAGAAATTCTGTCAGTGCTCAAATGTGGAACAGGTGGAAATGTGTTGTATCAACACCGATCTGACCCAAGTTCAGTAGACATTTAATTCTAGTATACTTGAAAAAATGTATTATTGACACCAATAACATGAGATCTGTTGGTGCATGATACTGAATTTCTGAGTGGTTATTCTACCAAAAGTGTGTTTTCAGTTGTGCAATGGTCTAAAACAAGAATATACTTTTTAACTACTGCATTTCAACTTCTCTTTGTGATGGCATGCTAAAAGGTAATGTCTGGTGTGTTCTAAACCCCCAAGAATATATATTTTATTGAAACAAAACAGGGTACTTTTCTTGAATTATCTTCTGTAGATTTTACACAATTCTCAGTGTAATCACCGCTTCAGCCTGCACTTCAGCCAACATTCTTTAGTGTTTGAATCTTGTGATAGAACTGTGCATCTTATTGATGGAACCACATCTTCACCACTGCATTTGCTTTATAGTCTCACAAGAAACTGTGTTCTCTCAGACGTTCCTTGAGTTGTGGTAATAGATATAAGTTAGATGACTGAAGTCTGGAATGTATGGTGGATAGCCAAAGACAGCGAAACCAGGGACTTGATTCTCTATAGACATAAACTCATGTGAGGCTTTGCAGCATTAAGGAAGAAAACCGAGAGAGTTTTACTACTACAATTTGTCGACACATTCTAGTTTTGGTTGAGATTGTATTTTACATGAAGACCTACATGTGCTGTGTGTGGAAGTGACTGATGGAGAATTCACGTGAGGGGACTCCCCAGCCAGCTGCACCACTGCTTTGAGGGAATCACCTAGCCAGACATCCAACCCATGCGTTGGTCATTGATCGAAAAGACGGGTCGCTGGTTCCATTCATAGAGGTCTTATTCTGGCAAAGACACCAGAATTGTTGTGCTGTGCATACATATCCTAACTTGTAAGACTTGAGGTTCTCACAGCAATGAATAATCATATTCATCGCCCTGATGACGGAGGCAGTATGACCTCTGAAACATTGGTTAACATCGACCAGACTACACAGCGCAACAACCCAGAAGACGGAAATCTTCATATCCTAACTTCTCATGTTATAAGAATCCAAAGGTTCAACACTACCATTCATATAGGCTACCAATGAATGTGATTTGAGAATTTGTTCTAATTTCTTAATGAACCTCATTTCTTACACATTCTCAGTTCTATATATTTTGATTTTGTTGCTTATGTTTGTTACATGCCATGTTCACATATTTATATTTACTTCTAGATCAGTTTCTTTGTGAGCCTTTATGTTGTTTTAGCTTTTATGACAATTTATCCTTTGTGTTTCAGGAATGGATTCCGTGAGGGTGGCAAACCAGCACCACGCAAAGTTGCTGGATCATAAACTGGAATGCATTTATAACATGAATTTTGTTTGATGTATTGGTACAAAACAAGTTGGTAAAATAAAAAAAATCTGTACAACGAGAGAATTTCTTCCAAATATTGCCTCATAACTTCCTGGTAAGCATGCACCTGTCATCCATAATACAGTAAATAATTATTAGTAAATAAAATGCATATTTTTGTAGAATTTGTTGGTAACAATTTGCAAGCTGCACGTTTTGTTAAAATTTTATCATCTTCAGGCTCCGCTGTATTGTACACTATTCAAGTGTGTGATAAATTGATAAAATTGAGTTATTTTGGCAGTTTGTTGAAAATAAGCTACAAATTAAAATTGTCATTAAAGCATGTTTTAAATGTTAAAAAATTTCATGGAGTGCAAGAATAGTATTGTAAGATTTTTTTGACATAAATACGTCTATAAGGGAGGGTCATTCGGCAAAAAAGTGTAATGAAAAAGGGGAACGAAAAAGTGTAACAATGGTTACCTAGGGAACATCATCTGTTTACTCGGCATTATTGTTACCTATGAAACGTCATTTGTTTATTCAATATTATTGTTACCTACGAAACGTCATCTGTTTACTTGGCATTGCTGTGTTACCTAGGAAATGTTACATTTCATTAAAATACATTACTTTACATTACATTCATCTACCACAGACAAATCTTAAGCGTAACTATTTCAAGTTAAGGATTCAAGCATTTTTGTTACCTAGGAAACGTCATCTGTTTACTCGGCAATGTTGTTACCTATAAAACATTACATTACCTTACATTTCATTACATGATATTACATTACTTTACATTACATTCAGCTACCACAGACCCATCTTAAGCATAACTAATTCAAGTTGAATAAGCAATGTCTTAATCAAACTTATCTCCATTGTAAAGCATGTATAAAGGAAATATTTAGAATAAAGCCAATATATAAATTTCCTTTCCGTATAGACGTATTTATGTCAGATTCTCCGGAACCGTGCTTCCACTGACAATTTTTGGTATTTTGGGTGTTTTAACTGTTGATGAATTGGAGGCATCATTTCATAAGTGATAATGAGCAAAATTAACAAACAGTGAAAGTAGAAGATTTTCATTTAGTATGAACTGCTAATATTAAAAAGTTCTGTTATAATATAATATATATTATATGTATGTGTCAGGTGGCTGTACATTTATTTCTAAATGTATATATAGAGTATGTACTGATATGTTGGAAATATTGTGTGCAGGACAGGGTCCGGTGGAGGGCTTTGGTTAATTCGGTGATGAACCTTCGGGTTCGGTAAGCCATCTAGTGTGTTAGTGCAACCAGTAAATATAAATCTGTGGCAAATTTGTGAATTGAGATTTTACTTCTTCCCTATGGGAAAATATTTTCCTTCTCTGATAGCATGTCTCTCCTCTTTGCAGTTATACTGCTATTGAAATTAATGTTATTTGTGATTAATAAAGAAGACAGTGATTTAGTATGTCAGACTTGTTCACAGTGGGAAAGAAATGATATTGTGACAGGGTAAACACATTAATTTGTAGTGTATAGCAAAGCTGAGGTGCCAAACCTTGAGCTTTCAGATTGCATGTTTTTACATTTTCCTTTTGTGATTTTTATGTGTTATAATTATTTCTTGACTCTGTAATATTGATTTGTTTGATCATACAGAATCTCTTTAATTTGGTTTGTAAGTATGAAATCTTGGATTGTTTTTATTTATTTTTTTATTCCATTTATTCACCATTTTTACAGGGTATTTATTCTGTGTACCTAACACAAACCTTGCCCCTAAGGTATATAGAGCAACATCTATTTCTGAAATATATTTTGTTTTTTAATATGTGTTACATGCATTATACAGATTTTGTGTGAGGCATTATTATGTATTTTACATCAACATCTTTTGTATGATGTTCTGAGAATGGCGGTTTTCTGAAGTTCCCTAATGTCATGTTAACCTGGGACATTAGCCAAATATTTTTTGAGTGACTTGGAGACAGTTCTAGTTGCTCCTATAATTATTGGAATTAATTTTGTTTTTACTTTCCACATTCATTACATTTCAATGAGAAGGTCCTTGTAATTCAAGATCTCAGCTTCCTTAATCATATTTTTGTTGGTTGGTATTGCTATATCAGTTAAGAGACAAGTTCCATTTTTTGTTTTGAATTGGTTTGGCTTTTGAAATATTTCTATCTGTTTTGAACTATTGGTTCCACAAAATAGTTATTTGGTTGTCCTGACTTTTCTCATCTTCCTTCAGGATCTGTTCATACCAATGGGTCTTCTCTAACTTTACCCCTAGTTTCCTGCATATGTAAAAATGTAACTAAGTACTGAAATATATTGCTTTTATGCCAGCATTGAGCATCCTGACATACGTTTTGTCATTTCCTCAAATTGCTGACATAATCTGTATTTGAGGTCGGTCATTTTAAATATTTTGCTTGCATAATATTTAGTAATTAGTGCTTAGTCTTGTACTGCTTTAATTTAACTTTGTTTCACCTTTCAGATCTCCTTTTATTAGCCACAGAAATGTGTCTTCTTTACTTGTACGCTCTCTGGCCGAACATTATTTTGTTCTCCCACTTTTTCTTTATAGCTTATTGAATCAATGACTTAATTGGTTGTTTCCCTTTATTTGTGTTGTTGATTTCATCTTTAGAATTTAGTTATTTGATTTTTGATGCTGTCTTAATTATTGAATCCATAATTGCTTGGGACCTATCATGTGATTGTATAATTTTTATATGTGGATCCTTCTGATGCTTTTTGTGAAAATACCCTGTAATATTAACTACAGTGAAACCTCTATCCATCGTTCCCGGAACTATCGTTTTCCCGGATGCATCGTCCGTTTTGTTCGGTCCCGAATACATCCCATATAAAATAATGTTACATTTTCCCGCTTCTATCGTTCCTCGAACTATCGTTTTATCGCATCGATCGTTCAAAAATCGTAGTCCCGGCCCACAATTTTCCCGCAATGATCGTTTCTGAGAAATTGTAACGAAATTTACGTGATATTTTTAGAATTTAATTCCGAAAGACGCACAATGTTTTTGGAATACACAGCGGTAACCTGTTATGTCGCCCAACCAGCACATTCTTTTGGAATGAGGGTCAGCGGTGCAGGGGTGATAGTTGGAGTGAATGGC